CTCCGCGAGGTGATCGCCTCGGCCTCTTTGGATGCATTCGCGGAAAGTTCTGTCGCAATGAAGCAAGCCATGGTAGTGTCAGGGATGTCACATGTAATGGTTAAACTGTTTGCTCCATGGGTTTCGTGGAAAGTTCTTCCATACAGTGGCAAAATCGTTCTGCTGTTTGTCCTTCATACAGTCGCATTTTTGATCATCGTTGTTGCTAATTCACCCGCATCACGGCTTGTTGGCGTTGTTTCTTTTCAAGTAGGCAACGCAATGGCAGAAAATACGTTTCTTTCTCTCGGAACTTTTTATGGAGACGTCGCCGTTATCAGTTTTGCGGCAGGAGGTGGCTTGGGTGCTGTACTAGGTACTCTTTATTACTCAGGTTTGTGTTTAGGATTTTACTCAATGCGAATAGCTTTGGAAAATGAAATAGAGTTTGAGATAACGGGGATTAAGACTCTTTTCCATGTTCTATCTCCCCGGCCCCTTATTTTCTCTTAAATGAACTGATTTTTTTCAAGGAATGAATGGAAAATTAGGCAAATTAGGGAAGAAAGTAAGAGGATAGTCTAACCTAGACACGAATTCGCATTACAAATAGATGGGGACGCTTGGATGAGTATCAGTAAAAGCTGTTCACTGAAGTGGTAACGATCTACATCACATGACTAAGAATTTGAAAGAGAGTGTACGTGGCTAAAGTCAAACAATAGTTTGAGCCGAGTAAAATTATTACTCCACTGCAAGGATATTGGAACAGATTCCTACATTTTAGGGACTGAAGACACTTCCCAATGATGAAAACTTCCTTGGGGGTCGGGGCTATATTCCCCTGAAAAATTGAGCTTACTTCTGAGTGGAATTTGAAAGCAGGGTACTTTCCTGAAAGCCAAACCCATCCCCCCCTCCTTTCTCTGTGCACTGTGCTGTGTCGTAGCTACTGCAGAAATGATTATGGATATGGGTAATTTGTCGACCCGAATACAGTTTTGTTCACTTCATGTAGAATGCCTTTTGGTTAACAGGTATATCCGCATGGACATGTGTTCCACCTAGAATTGCGGTGTCGTTCCTCATCCCAGCCACGTTTTTCTTCGTCTTTATGTATGCAGCCTTGGACAAGTCTCACGTCGATCAGCGATCGAGACACAACTCTACTTGTTTCCCAGAAGTTGATTACGATGCTTTTGGCGATCAACAGAAAGCAAGCAAACTCAGCATGATAACAGTAAAAGTGCGTGTCTCCCTTCACATATTCGTGCCCATAAGTTACCTCTTCATGCAATTCTTTGCGGATCGCCACTCGATTCAAACGATCATCCCAACATTGGCACTCCCAGAAAAGGCCCACGGTCTCATTGGTCATTACACTTACTACTCGCTCACTCACGATATCGGCTCACTGATTGGACGCTCCTACCTTCTGCTGCTTTCAATCACGTGTCCATGTGTAGCCAGTTATGCACAAATCAAACACACGTGGATACTAGCTGCTGCTGGCAACATCATGATGTTTTGTCTTGTGTTTTTATCATGGTTTCACCCTATCGTTGAAGTGGAAGTCATCCTGGTTTTATGTTTCGTTTTTGGCATGATCACAGGTAGCCATTACGCAAACTCGCCTCTTGTCATAACTGAGCAAGTCAGGGATGCAACAGAAAGAGAGTTCGCGCTGGGCATATTCACGCTGGGATCATCCGCTGGCACGTATGCCGCTGGGCTCTTAGGATTGTTCTTGAAGCCATATTTAACTCAGCACTGTCTGTTTGAGTTAGGCAAGAACTGTCCAAAAAGATTTTTTAGTTTCAAAGGATGGATCGAAAGTGCACACTGTTGATGATACCACATGAAATAATAGGATTGAAACATGTCCTTGGCTATAGGTAACAAGCTTTTCATTGATAAGAGTGTGTCCGAGCGCGGAAGTTATGTATATAAATTTTATATCTAAAATTGAAATTAAGAAATGCTTTGAAGCGAACATCACGATCATGAATGGA